CCATTAGTAACAAATCTATTCAGATAAATTAAACTGGAGTGTCTGTTTATTATATTAAAATAACCGCTTTTTCTAAATGCATATAGATGTATACACGGTACATATAATTTACAAATATTTTTTTTACAATTTTGTCAATCCGTCTGTCTCCTTCTTCAGGCTAATCTCTGAATCGGCTGGATTTTGACGGGACTTTTACTGGCAGATAGCTGACGTAACAAGGAGTACCACTTGACCACTTTTATTTTAGAAATTTCATTTATTTCGAATTTCACGCGGACGAAATCGCGGGGACAGCTAGTAAATAAATGCGACTTTGCCCGATAATAAAAATTTTCGCAGACCACCTCAGCGCTACCATTAAGTCGGGCATCGCCAACCCTACTCTCTGGGGACGTTGGCCTAGATACAATGACCCATGCACGACTAGTGATGCGCGCGTGCCACGTGCCAGTGGCGCGATAACAAATTCTTTATCGATACATTTCTCGTTCACATCACTTCAAAATTATGTTTAGAATATAATAAAAAACAGTGAATTCTTTCGGTCACATTTTACTCTTTAAAAATAATCGTACAAGACAAATACTGTACTGTAAAAAAGTAAAGTAAAGTAACAGCCTATACATGTCCCACTGCTGGGCAAAGGCCTCCTCTATAGAGAGGGTATCAGGGCATAGTCCACCACGCGGCCCCACTGCGGATTGGCGGACTTCACATATCTTCGAAACATATATATTTTTGTTATTATTTCGAAAATATGCAGGTTTCCTCACGAGGTTTTCCTTCACCACGGAGCACGTGATAAGTCAGCACTTAAAGTTAAAAACTTCATTGGTGGCGGCACCGGGGATCGAACTCAGGTTGCTCGAGTATATTGAACTATAGGCGAGCGCCCGGACACTGAGCTATCACGGCTCTACGGGTTACTGTAAAGTAAGTTTTTAAGCTTTTACCGTTTTAGGGCCACGCAATAGTATTCGCTGTTGCACGAATGGGCAGGTCCGTCTAGGTTAGTACCACGACCTCACAGAAGACCGGCGTGAGGTAGAAGTTGTTACACTTCTGTGTTTCGTCTGGTCTTACTACACCCACTTCATTAAAAGGGTGGTAATACAACTGCAACTAGAAAACTTTAACTAACAGAGCCATGCACATGTCCACATGACATGTATACAGTAACACAAATTAACCATTCACATTGACCACCACTAACTCACTAAAAAAAACTACTTCGTATAGACTGCAATAACATCTATATCTTAAGCATATATCTCATTTTAGTATGGGAGATAGTTCTATTTTATTTATATGTAAGACTAAGTAAATACATTACATAAATTACCTTTCGCTTGTGATCGAACGCCAATATAAAAACATTCTGGCTGAAAACAAAAAAAAAACTTCAAACGATCAAATTACAGCGAACCGTATGGAGTCGTACCAACTCTTCAAGTCGCGAGCAAGTCTTCTTTTGCACAAAGAAGGCGCGTTTTAATTACTTGAGGCCGTTCCGAGAGAACGTTTGCAACTTTCCCTCCCCCCCCCCCCCCCCCCCCCCCCTAAGTATATTTCAAAGCGGACTCAGTCCGTTACGAATGTACCCGAGAGCTCCATGGGGAAATTGGGTCGCGAGTCGTTTGGATGCGAGAGATGTGAATGGGATTCCTTGGATTTAAAAAGTTCAACGGTTACATGTAAAAAAGAAAAAGAAAGTAACAGCCTATATAATACTAGCGACCCGCGCCGGCTTCTTACGGGTGTAATGTATTATACACATAAACCTTCCTCTTGAATCACTCTATCTAGTAAAAAAAACCCGCTACAAGATCCGTTGGGTAGTTTTAAAGATCTAAGCATACACGGGGACAGACAGACAGCGGGACGACTTTGTTTTATACTATGTAGTGATGTTCCACTGCTGGGCGATCGCCTCCTCTGCACAGATTGTATTATGGCATATTACCACCACGCGACCACAATGCGGATTGGCACACTTCACATATCTAATATACATATACTATACGTGTTTTTTTTTGTTATTATTTCGAAAAATATGCAGGTTTCCTCACGGTGATTTCTTTTTCTTCGCTGAGTACGTGGTAAGTCGGCACTTAAAATTAACAATTTCGTTGGTGCCGGCGCGCAGGGATTTATACTAGAGTGCCATGGTTCTTGGTTACTTGCGAAACAATTTAACACACGCGAAACATTGAGTCTTCACCACATCCATTGGTAAGTACCGTAGTTAAGAGTTTAAAGCCGTTGCTAAGGATGATTGGACGCAAAAGAAATTATGCCAACTGTCCGAATTAAATTTGCAGTCACTTTCCATCAATTTTACCTTTGCAGTTGATAAAACAGTCATATAGTAATTCGTTTAAACACACTCGACAGCACCAAAACAACTTGAATCTGCTCGGTGCTTTACAATCGTGACCTGTGTGCATATTTTTTTATCCTTACTAATATTATAAACGCGAAAGTTTGTATGTATGGATGGATGTTTGTTACTCTTTCACGCAAATACAACTGAATGGATTTTAATGAAACTACAAAAATATAGCTTATATATCAGAATAACGCATATGCTATAATTTAGTTATACATATTTTATGTATATCTGTCTTTCTGCTTAATGTTACACCTTCAGCCTATTCTACGCAGACGTAGTCGCGGGCAGCAGCTAGTAAAACATAAATCGTATTCACCTAAATCGTTCTGACAAAAAGACAACCGTCATGTCTGTTTACTTACCAAATAACGATATTACTACAATAATACGTATTAGCATTAGGTAACGGTACATTTTTTGTACATTCAATCGCTGTTTACATTTAAGATCCAAGGCCTACCATAATATCTATGCGATATGTTTTTAAAAAAAGATAAAAAACAATATTTCAAACTAATCCCACGAAACAACTTAACCGAACTCGTTTATAAACGCTTTTCAAAGACCAACGAGGACGCCGGTCTGGCAGATTAGTTCCCATTGAGACCGGAGACCAAAGTCCGAAGCAGGAGCAGCCCTAGCCGACGACAGTCGCAACGCGGGCGCTGAGACGACGCCTGAAAGATCTTCATTGCCCGACCTCCGGCGAGCATGAGAGGCGTGGTGTCATCAAGCTTATTAAATGGGATATTAAATATATCTCGTCTCTGCACGCTCGACTTCCGTATGTTCGTCTTTATACATATAATTTTTCTGTGCGTATGTATGTCACTGAACTCCTCCTTAACGGCTTGACCGTTAATGAAATTAAATTTTTAATGTGTCTTCAGGTCGATTGAATAATGGTTTCGATGCACAATTCGGCCCACTACAATATATTTTTTTTAATTTAAGTTATAAATAAAAATAAGTAGTCGGATTTAAGTCGTGTGTCTTGTAACGTCTTTCGGGTCCGTTACTTATTACACTATTTGCATTTGTTGTATATAGCGATATATCTATATATTAATATACACATATCTCAATGTTATAAATATCTTCGCTTACAAACAACAAATGGAACCGTACGGTGCGTCTTTTAATATAATCGTCTATTCAGTATTTTTCATAAAATCGTTATTGACGTTGTATTGTAAGACAAAAATTGCATTCTTTTCAGGAGAGCCTTCTTTCATTAAAATGTTATTGATAAAACCTATTAACTGTAGTAGTGCCACGCGACAATCGTCGCTGTTAGACGAATGGGCAGGTAGCTATGTCCGGGTACTTTTTAAGGGGGCGACACATTTGTAACCCTACGGGTGTTGCCTATGTCAATCACTCAACATCAAGTGAACAGATGTTAAGTGACGAGGTTAGCCTTTTAGTCCCGGGCTCATAGCCCTGAAGTCCCGGGCCCATAGAATAGGGTTAAGGTATCCCCTGCCTGTCGTAAAAGGGGACACGGATGGGCAGCAGCACCAAGTGGTCTCGTGCTGCTGCAAGAGGGTGAGGGAATGTGAGAAGGTTTATCCTTCTCCGAGGCGTGCTCAGGCGTAGTACCGAGGGACACCGTTGCGTTCCATGGGAGATCCCGGAGTCCCTCTAAATGTACGGAAGGTGGCCACCGAGGGGATTTTAGTGGGTAAGAACCTCACTTATCCCTGATATGTAAGGTGACAGCGTATCTTTCCAAGATTTCCCACCCGATACCACGTGACGAGGTAGCAGCTCCCACGTGTGCAGTCTCCAATCAATTATAATGTCGAGCGTCAGTTCGTCAGTTTCAAACTCTTCCCAAAGAAATCCGTTCATGAGATAGAAATTCATTTCTGAAAAAGGGAAACTTCCCAAAGTCGAGTGACGAACGAAAATTTTCAGCTGAAACTTTTTTAATAACCGAAATTATATCGCCTCGAGAACCATTATGATTTCCTTTGTTTATTGTTTAGAAACAGGATAGCTAAGATCGAGATTAAATATATTATATGGCTTAGTGAATATCAGCATTAATAACGGTTAATTTGTGAAAACTCTTAACAGGATAACTTTATATATACATAAGTAGAGCCATTACAATAGACTTAAACTTATTTATTCAGAGCGGAACGATTATGAAATTTCCACAGCTTAGACTAATGTATGACACTTCATATAATATGTTTAAATCTGTTTAGAGGTTCAGGCTAAAACATTGTAACGCTTTTAGAACATTATCCTCGTTTGGCAGTCGGTTAAAAATAATTATTAACATAATATAACACTATGTACGGATGTAACAAGAAGGGGACAAGTACGACGCGAGCTTTGATGACGCCTCGAGCGATGCGCGAGTTTCGAATTGAAACTTTTATGCACCTTCTTTTAAAGCGCTTACATCCTTTCAGATGTCCCGTTCAAAGCCATAGGCGGTTCGCTTTGTGTCCAACTAAGTTCTCGCGTCTCCCGACATCGACTGCAGTAGCTCTTCAATATTCAAACGTCGACTCAGTAAACCTTCCTACAGCACTAAGCCGTCCATTAAAAACGTAAGTAAAGTACGACATCCAACCCTTCAAAGGCATGAATGTCTTCCTGGGTGGAAGGCAGCGATGACACATTCCATTCTCCAATATCCTTGCACTCCTCGTCGGATACTTTTCATCGCTTCTACGTCTGTCTAAACTGTCACAACTTCCGAAGGAAAATCGCCCAAGAACGGCAAAAGCGTAGTCCCAAAAGCCCCCCCCCCCCCCCCCCCCCCCCCCCCGACCCTCGTCCCACACGCACGGATACAAGAGGGACCACCCACGCGCCATCCCGGTTCCCGCCAAAGCGAGCGCGCCGGAACGACGACAGGACGGAGGCGATTTGTCGCACAAAAAAAAATTTGCCCACGATCAAGTGCGAGCCGCGAATTGCGCTTCCGGCGCGGCGGACAAACTCTGCAATATCCGATGTCTCGACGCCATCGTGGAGCTACGTAGAGAATGGCGTCTAGATCAATGATGTTTTAGTGAAAATGCAATCAAATCTTACCGATTGGCGTAATTTGGGTGCGTCAGTTTCGGCACGCTAGTGACATATCCTAACCCCTATTTGTATACAATATCATTGGTCGTTTTACGAAAACGGCGCGAAAAATACAACCCCTCGTGTCTCCAGATAGCGGCAGTGATGTTCACATTATATTTTTAATGTGACCACACATTGAAACCAATTAACGTCAGTGATAACCACCGCGCATAGACTTCTACAACGCCTGGCAATGTTGCAGATGCTTTGACAACATTTAAAAAGTTGGCCCTGGATGCCTCACTCGTCAGACGAAACTTGAAAATGCTTCTTCACTTCCGCTAATCCAGCCCGTTCATGCAACAGAAGAAACTTTTACGTAGTCAGAGAGATGACGAGCTTTGTCGCTATATGTTGAACACAAATGTGACACACGGACTTTTGCAACAATACGAATTCGAACGCGAGACTTTTAATATCACAAATATGCCGTCAAGGGCACTGTGCCATCACGCAACGAGCTACGGTATATTGGTTTCGCGATTATTTATATTCGAGCTCATTATCGTTAAACAAATACTGTATGCCAGTGTTTCAATTAAAATAGTTCATTATGCATATAATATGTGTACATGTTTCTTCGATATTGTTGCATCTACTCTATTTATCTTTGCGTTATAGCTTATATCTTGACTTTCAGCGTGTATAAATTCAATTAAATAAAGGGAAAAACATCGAAAACGACACCGAATTCCTTAATCGCTAATGTGGGTAAGGAATATGGTGTTGTTTATAAATTATATACTCGCAAAACAATTGTTTCGTAGTTCGATGTTATCTAAAATAGTCAATGTTCGATTGTCTTGTGTCGCTCATGTTAACCTACTACCGAATTGTGTTGCGTTGTCGTGGGTGTTACGGAAATATCGGCCCTCTCGTAAATAACAAAACCACATAGTACATACAATACGCAAAGCTTACAATTATCTGAAAACAACAGCAAGTTGGATGGAAATCCCGAGGAAGCGGTAACCGTGGAATTGTTAAATGCAATTTTAGTGCTAACTTATCACGTGATCCAGGGCCACGTATCAGGTAAGCCACGAGACACTGGAATTGTCTGGAGAAGCGGACTGTCTTATATCACCTTCTAATAACGTTTTCCCAGCTGTAAAAAATACATGCATGCTGTAATTTTCTGTCACTTTGCATCCCGCAAGGAATAGAATCCGGAACTCTTCGCCCATTTTACTCCCGTACTCAAAGGAGACCAAGGTTTAGGCTCCAACTGTCGAGGGACCATAAAAACCGAGCAACGACGGGGCTTCGCGAATTTTCCACACGGTTTCACTGAAGCAGAGGGCGCGCGGATCGCGTTACACCGCGCGCCTGGCAGCTGGCGGAACGGCCACCGTGGGATCCGGCCGTAGTGACAGCCTATATTATCTCCCACTGCTGGGCAAAGGCTGCGTCCATACAGAGGGTATTAGGGCGTAGTCTAACAATCGACTCCAGGAGATTTGCGGACTTAACGTATCTGCTAAAATGTTTTTTTTCTCACAATGTTTCCCTTCAGCGCTGAGCACGAGATAAGTCAACACTTAAAATTAACTATTTCATTGGTGCCGACACCGGGATTAGACTCGGGCTGCTCGAGTACATTTAATCAAAATTGAACGCCCTGACACTAGGCTATCACGGCTTTAGTTATCACCGTAGAATAACGCGAAGCATTTTAACATACTTTAAAGATGCGGCTGTTCACTCCGAACACAGATACGCCTTGTCTATCAATATCGCCAATCGAACTAGTTTTTATCAAGCGACATCAAAAAAGGAGGACTTTCTCAATCCGACTGTATTTTTTTTGTGTTTGTTACCTCTGAACTTTTGACCGAGTTAGCCGATTTCGACAATTCACTTTTTATTTGAAAGCTGTGCTTCCCATGTGGTTCCATATTAATTTCATTGGTATTGGATGTTGGGCTCCGGAGATACGTTGGGAACTCCTGAAAATCAATTATAAAATGAAGACAGAGCGAGATATTGTAAGTCGGTTTTGTTTTTCGTTAATAAAACTTTTTTTTTCAATGGCCGATGGTGTTGCGGCGCAGTTGCCAAGCTACTGGCTCCGGCGCCGGGGGTCGTGAGTTCGATTCCCACAACGGACAAGTTTTCTTATGACCGACATACAATTGTTCCCGATCTGGGTGTTTATTACCAAGTGGGTTTGATGTCAGTAAGGCGGCCGTTCGCGTAAAGCCTGGCCAAAACCACTTACGACAAGATCGCGAGCCAACCCGAGCGTCTCGCGGCCCGCGAAGCGTTAAATCGCACAAAAAAATCGCACACAACAGCAAAGCGGGGGAACGTGAATTAATAAAAACGTTTGCAGCCGACGCATCCATCTCGGGCGCGGTGCAATCCACAAGCGCCACGCGTGTAGCGCGGCGTCGTCGTTCGTTGCCTGACGCGAGTTAAAAGCGCAAGCGGTTTTGTTAACAGTCAATAAGGCGAGTGAGGTTTAAAGGCAACAGCTCTGCATCCCGTCAGGTGTTTTAGACGTTCACGGGCGGCGGTAATCACTTAACATCAAGTGAATCGCCTGCTCGCTTGCCAACTTTTCATATAATGATGCACTGTCTGTCTGATGTAATGTTACAGACATTACATCAGAATTTAGTATTTAAAATAAGAACGAAACAAACGCAATATAGACTCGTTCGACCACGAGTTCGAGGACCACATACACTGTGCCCGAATATATCCACAATAAAACAATAATATCGATATAGCCACACCATCCTTTTGCGTCTGATAATAAATTAATAAACGCATTATTTGTCCTATCATTTAATTTTGTTACTCTATTAAATAAGTATTATATCACAAAAAATATTCAGTTTTTGGCGACAAACAATACTAATCAATTACTTTTTTGCAATCCTAAAACAAAACGTGCGATTCGGTGAATAAATTGAGCGATAGAGCAAACTTTTCTAAAATATTGCTGAACACTTATTTTGTCCGAACTACGCAGTACTAGCCGAAAAGAAACTGTATATATCTAGAAATGCTTGAATTGATTTGAATGTTATGAGTAATAGGATTAATTTTTTGCCCAGAATTTGAACATAAAATTTTTAAGCTATTATTTTACTTTATTAGTGTTTGCTGCAAAATATTTAACTGTTTACGTTGGTGTATCTTGTGCAAATCTTCGGATATCAAAACGAATTTGACTAACGGCTGAAATTGATACGTGTTAATTTTCGCTTTGTAATGTTACTTTTTAAAAGGGATTGTATTTAGAACAAATATATCAAGTAATTTCAACAGGTTTCTGTAACCGCTGTCGCTTGTGAACTTGCGCCTGAAAATACAGTTAGGGGCCGTGACCAATACTTTGATCGGGCCGTCCGTCCGCAACGAAGCCGTTAACCCGGCCGAATGCGAACTTCGCTCGCTGCTACGCCCGTCTCGGTGGCATGCGACTTTTCACACTGTTCGGGTTATAGACGGCTTAAGTAAAGCGATACACTTATCCTAGTAATCTCTTACAACTTGCATGTTCGTATTATTAACTATAAAAATACTAATTAAAAGTGGTAACTTTTTTTCGCTGTAGCACGAATGGGCAGCTCCTTCCGGGGAGAACCATGATCTCACAGAAGACGGGCGTGAAGTAGAAGTTTTATACTTCTGCGTTTCATCTGGTGAGTGAGGTAGCCGGGGTTCGCTTTATTAAAAGGTGGTAATCGCATATGGGTGTTGCAGGTTTCAATGGGGGCCGGTTATCACTTATAAAACTCTCACATAAAAAAAAGATGAAACTTGAGTATGTACGGATGAAACAACTCAGTTTGCGTGAGAAGAAACAACGGAACAATTTCATTTTAAGTTCGCTTAATACATATGTCATACAACTAGCCCAAATAAATGACGTCACTCCAAAACACGTTACGTTTATGTGACGCGTGATTAATCGAAACGATTATAAAATTACTCAGAATTTCTCACCAATGATGCATGATAATACGTTTTTCGTGTAAAAAAGCGAATTAGGGTAATGACTGAGTGCTTCTATCTTTAGTCCCCTCGTCGCGAATGTCCGGCGATGGTGTCGTGAGTCAACCTAACGTGACTCACGCTTATCCGCCGACCGAATGCGAATGCAAAAGGTAAAAGTCTCCGTACAGGCGCGTCACGATGACGGAATTTGGCGGAGTCGCGGCGGAACACTGCAATAGCCGATCGATAGGTTTCATTTGACGAAACAAATGTTTAACCTAATCGGCGGTGTTGAAGAAGATCGGTATAATTTGGCTTTGGTCTATGTTAGTTTTCGCTGTATTACTAAGGAGAAATTAAATGGTAACTTATGAAAAATCGAAATGAAACCTTTTTAACCGACTTCAAAAAAGGGGGGGTTTCTCAATTCGACCGTATATATTTTTATATTTTTTTTATGTGTGTTCGCAGATAGCTTCGTCGTTTATGAACGGATTTTGATGATTCTTTTTTTGTCGGAAAGGAGATATCCAATAGGTGGTACCATGATAAGGAAACACGGATCTGATGATGGCATCCCAGAGAAATCGAGGGCCATCATTTAATGTTATAGGTATTAACAATGTTTTTAATTTTCTGATTGAAGTGGGTTTTTCTTTTGTTAAAAATTATACTTGTTTGTAATGATGTTTTCGTTGTTTATACTTTGAGAAAAATCAGAATGCTTCTCAGGCTTTGTTAAATTATGTTTTTGCTGTTCAAAATAGGTCGCGCCAATACCGATCCAAAATTAAAAATTAGAAATTCGTCAGTCTCCTTTCCAGCAACAAGAGAATTTTTCTAAATCAGTTTATAACAAACCGAGTTCTGAACCATTCTCGAAACCACTTGAACACACACAAAACATTTCATCAAAATCGTTTCAGCCGTTTTTAGAGGTCTTAAGTCACGTACACACGCAAAGCACGAACT